GTGTGTGTTTTCAGAGAGGGCACGTTGCGTCCCGGTGATCGTCTCCTCAGTGTGGACGGCGTCCCGCTGCACAACGCCAACCACAGCGACGCCCTCATCGTGTTGGCTCAGTGCGGCCAGGAAGCCCTGTTCCAGATAGAGTATGATGTCACCATCATGGGTGAGAGACCTCACACAAACCTCAACACACAGCGACACACAGCGACACACAGCTACACACAGCTACACACAGCTACACACAGCGACACACACACAAGGCTTTGGGGTAAAAGCTTTTAGACTTTTCTAAAATGCCACTGACATTTAAAAAAAATGTTGTGTAGTTGATGTGTTGACATTTTCTGCCGCCTCGGGCTCAGCTCTGACTTTCTTCTGGATAAATCTGTTCAATTTAACTCTCGCGGAATCCGATGTTAAAAATCTCTGGTCATCGCAGCAGCTGAATTCTACGTTCAAGGGCACATCTGCCTCCGGCTCAGCAGCTGGAATGTTTAATGTTGTTGTTATAGAGACCTGAAATCACGTCATCTGCACATGAGCTTCGGCTCCCAGCTCAATATAAAATCAGTAAAATGAGTCAAATCTAATTGTTTTGTGTTTTTTTTTCTCCAGACACAGTAACGAACGCCTCCGGTCCGCTATTAGTGGAGATTGCGAAGTCGCCGGGAGCAACTCTGGGCATCACGCTGACGTCGGCCAATCATCGGAACAAGCAGGTCATCGTCATCGACCGGGTGAAGCCTGGCAGCGTGGTGGACAGGTAAACACACACACACACACACACACACACACACACAACACATAATGTAATGTGCATGTGATTAAACTGAATCAAAGATTTTGGGGGTGGAAGCTCGATATTTCCTGATATTTCAGTTGGGGCCCTCTTTCCCCATGTGGTAATTGTCTTGTGGGTTACAGATGTGCAGCGAGCGGGTATTTATGCACAGTATATAAAATGTCTCTAACACACACACACACACACACACACACACACACACACACACACACACACACACAGTCCTGTAACTCACACAGACAGCAGGAGACAGGATTTTGCCCCGAGCCTCAGTCTGGCTCTAAAATATACACAAGCTCTGAAATAACCTCAGTGGACTGAACGGTTTGACTGTGGAGCTCCAGGTCTGGTCACTGTTCTTTTCCACATGGTCTCCTCGTTCCTTTTTTTATCATATCTAAGATTCGTCCACGGTATAAAGAGCAGAGGCACCGGTTTCCTCCGGCCGATCCGAGCTAGCGCGGCTAACCTTCGTAGCCTAGATTCCTGATTCCCGTTTATCTTCCTTTGCAGATGTGGCGCGTTGCATGCTGGGGATCACCTGCTGTCCATAGACGGGACGTCGACCGAACACTGCACGGTCCTGGAGGCGACGCAGCTGATAGCCAGCACGACGGAACTGGTCAAACTGGAAATGCTCCCGTCCCATCAAACCAGGCTAACTGGGAAACAGCACGACACAGGTGGATGCAGGTTTAACACGTTCTACCTTCATTCAGATGGACGCAGGCGCTTAAAGCCACATTTGCATTTTATTATTGATCTCTGAACTCACTCGACACGTTTGTGTGAAAACTCATCTTCTCAGTCGTTAATGTAACAGACACCATAAAGATTTCTCCCTGGTTGACGTCACTGTTGGATCCAATTTGCCCTTTAAATTGTTCTCACATCCCTGAAACATTGATATATGCACATACAGACAGAAGATTATTTTAGATTGCATAAAACTGTTTATCTTTAAAAACTGCCCTCAGAACATTACAGCAGCACCCACGTGGAAGTGAATAGAATTTTTTAAAAATGAGATTATTCACACCGTCCACCTGATCTCTGCCTCGTCGGCTCTGTAGAGAAGAACCGCTTTTATGTTTGGGACGTTTCAGTGTTTTAGGTTTGATGCGGCCCCTTCAAGATAATTCCTCTGTGAAATGTGTGTGTGAACAACTAGACCTGTGTTATATATCTTGTCCACTTGTGTACTTACATCAAACAAAATGCTTCCAACAATGTTCAAATCCAAATGCGTCACATTCGCTTTACGAATACACTTCACAGTCTCTGCTGTAACGTCCGACATAATGTTAACCAGTTTACCAGTTTTGAACATGAGTGGCGTCACGTAGATTTTTTATCGTCAAACATGGTGAAGACTACAACTCCCATGATGTTGATTGCGAGACCCCCTAGTGGCCAAAGGTCCTTATTGTATGATAAATAAAAGAATACCTAGATCCGACACTAACGAATGTTAGAGTGAGGCGTGAGTTTGAAATGCCAACTTGGCGAGTTTGGGCTCTTCTGGCTTCGTGTGTTTTTCGTCAGGGAAGCAAACATTACATTTAACATCCGGATCAGGTGGCAGATCCAAGATATGAAACATTTTCAACATATTTCTGGGACTAAAGTCTCCGAGTGTGTGTAAGTTGGTGCAGTGTTGGGCCTCGGTGTATATAGGTACGTGCTGCTGTATTATTTATTATTCATACCTTTAGCTGGCAGTGTTTGCAGTCATCAGCAGAACAATAGAGCTGGAGGTCTTATAGCATCACTTTAAATCTTCATGTCTTCACCCCCGTGTCACACTGGCCCCAAATTAGAGCAAATCAAAATGGCAACTAGGTTAATGTTGGAGTTTTTGCCCCAATTAAGTCGCCCCCTGTGAAGAGAAAATAATCCCCTTCCCCCGATGTCGTTGTTCCCTCCTTCTCACGTGGCTGAACGCTGATTGAGGAATATTTCGGCCGCAGCAGCAACTTGGTGCTTAATTAGTTGACGGAGGGATTTCTTCACCCACAGCCGACTTTTCCTCTGCAGGAGAATTAGTGCCAGTGGATTTACTGGAGGGACGCTGATGCCGACGGCTGTTTTATTATCCAGGGTTAATGCCTCGCGGCTTAAGGACACACACACACACGAAGATGCACGCAGAACCACACACGTGTAGGACCTGTGATAAAGCAGCTGATATTAATCCGTTAACATAAGTTAGACAAACGGATTTCTTCGTCCTTTTAATTTTTTAAACATTTTTCTTTGACCCAATTAGAGACTGAAGGGAGGACGAGAACGGCAGGATTGAAGAAAAGACGGAGAATATGGACGAGGAATCCTAGATTTTTAATTAGACCAAAACCTTGGGCTACTTCCTTCAGAGTTTGTGCAGGGTGGCAGTTTTGGCTCAGCATGAAAAGGACGGAGCGAGGGAAAGTTAAAAAGAGAAAGTGGAGAAATAGAGTGACAGCGGCAGGATGGTATTTCATTAAAGTCATTACGCCTCACCTGTAGGCGTCTGAAGCTGCTCACGGCCTTTTGCCTCCTCCTCCTCTCTCCCTCTCTCCCTCTCTCCCTCTCCTCTCATATACAGATCTCCTCCCTCCTTTCTCATCTTGTCTCCCGTTTTATCTGTTCTTCTTCTCTCTCCCTCCCGCCCTTCTATTCTTCTTTTATTCTAGTTTGAAGCAGCAAAAAAAGCCATAAAGTTAATTTTAAGAAAGTCCTTGAAGTTAGGGATGGGAACACACACACACACACACACACACACACACACACACACACACACACACACAC